AATTGGCAGCGCTGTCGGTGCTAGAATAGATAAACGGCAACGCGCCTGATTGGGCGTCAACTCATGATCAGCCGATTCGAAGGTCCGGTACCACAGAGGTGCCAAAATTGTTGTACGTCGACAACATGAGTGCATTGTTGTGGCAGGCCAGCATTTTCACATGCGCGCACACACACACACGCACGCACAACTAATTGTGGCGATAATGACGTTGGGTTTACTGATTTTGGCGACACCTTCTACGCCGCCGGACAATGCGTTATGGCAATACCTTGCTTTGAGCAGCATATGCATCGGCCGTTAAACTGATGCCCTTAGGGCAACTGATCGTCTGACTAACATAGAACTTCAATTTGTTCCACATAGATTGAGTTCAAAAACTGATCGGTCTAGTGCTTCTGCTAGTTTCTCTCGCATTTCAAACCCAAAATTATTCAAGAAAACGATGACTTTGGACGTGGAAAGATGGTTTAGCAAGTCGACGGAGATTCTCGATGTAAAGGCGCAATTTCTGAGGTACAAAGAACGCCGTTAATTACCCCTTCCACCTCCTCTTTCTCAACATAATCATCGTCGTCATCATTGACACTGGCTGTTTAGACTTCCTTTTAGTGAAGTATGCAACTTTTTTGTTTAACTTCACTCAATTTAACATGCCGCGCATCCAACCAGAATTATCCCTGTTTCCTCCCACCTAGCAAACCGCCAAACGACCTGCAACAAATGAAGGATACAATTTAATTGGTCGATTATTCTCTATACAAATGATCGCTAACTAGTTGTGAATTGGGTGGTGCTCCCACCATCATCTTCATCAAACACAACACATCTTTCGTGGTGTAAAGTCATCAAATGTCATAGTTGGAGGATCAACTGAGCCACATTTGGCAGATGGGAGTCAGGTGGAGCCGAGACAGAGCACGTGCTGCCTCAACATCATCGCTCTCAATCGATCTTCGGGGTTAGAAAGACTGGTGAGGAGGCAGTTTAGTCGGTCAGACGCATTGATGGTGGACCCCAAGCCCGACATTCTACACCATCAGATCCACAGTCAGCGGAGACACACGGCAGCATTTAATGCCAATTGCAACTCCGACTAGCTGGTGAGAGCAGTGGGCTCACCACATTCCAACCCACCATGGTCGCTAAGATCACGTGACAAGGCAAAGCAGGAATTGAGGCATATCGGGGCAACCACAAATGCACCAATGCCAGCGACGCCTCATTTAAACCCTAGATAAGCCACATTTAATCCTGTAAACATCACACGGCAAACAGATCTGCTGGTAGAGCGAGGCAGAGCACAAGCACACCCTGTTTGGCGTTAAATGACCTTGAAGCTTGGACCTGTGGTGGATGGCACTTGTCAAGAATGCACATGCTCGTACGCACACACACACACACACACATGCAAATGTACACTCGATTGAGCAGCGCCTTCAAGGTTGATTGTGCATTTGCGCATGCCTTTTTAGGGAGGTTACTTAGACTAAGGAATTCCTGTTACTTTAGGAGGTGACACGGAAATGTGATTACGAACGACGTGACAGAGTGGGCCATGTGACCCGGTGATGACCTGTTTGGGCATTAAAACGAAATACCCAGAAGAGATTAATAAAAGTGCCAGGTGAGGACGCGTGGACGTTCAACAGAATCAAAATTTCCACCTCGAAGGGGGTGAAAATTTGTGGCTGCGCCAAGTGTACTGTTCAGTTCGAGTGCACCACGAGTCGCATTTCATTGGCTGCAGCCAAAGTGCCCTGAACTCGGCGTTTCAACGTTCTCATCCATTGGGCGCGTGATCCAATTTTTAAATCAAAAGTCTTAAGGCAGGCTAACAATGACCTGAAGGCTTACGACGAAGTGCCAATGCCCTCAAGCATCTTCACCACAAAAAAAATTGCCTGAAGCATGTCGAGAATTTTGAAGTTTCGAATACGTTTTGACTGTGACCTAGAAGCACGTATAAACTTGCCTTTTGGCAGTTGTGATCCTGGTATTAAACGAAAAATATGATTAAAACATTCAAAATTACGCAATCAGTTTTAATGAGGCAAAATCGACGCATAATCTCATCTGCAAGAATTGGTTTACTGCAATTAACTTGACGTGATAATCTGACTCGCCGCCAAGCTAAAACTGGCACTTTAAAAATATTGACCTGACCTTGAACTGACCTCTAGGCTGTGTCCCCATTTAAAGCGGTTTTATGACTTCGATTAAGGGGGTGGTCAGAATGCTTTGAAAATGGGCGTTGAAGTAGAATTCATAGATTTGTCGATAATGACTCAACTAAGGCTCAAAGTTGGTTATAGTAATATGCAGTGTCACTGCAGCGCGTTAGCGTGATTGCATTTCGTGAAGCACTCAAAATACGCCGTTTTGAACACATTGATTGCCAAAAAAGGCTCATTCACGTGTATTGGTGTTTGTGTGTGAGTGTGCATGTGTATGTGCAGAAGGTCTCACTACGGAGTATGTATTGGCTTGTTTGCACAAGCACGAAGTACTTACACATAAATGGCAGCCGAAGGTTTAAAGTACATGTGCCCCCCATTGGAACATGTTTAATTCTAAGAATAAATATTCAGTAACAATCCAGGGCATGTACAGACATGGCCTAGATGTTATACTAAATGCAAGGACACTCAAATTGGCTGTGCTGCTAGTTTCAGAATATTTTCATTGAAAAATTTAAGGAAATTGAATTAGTAGCACAACTAACAAAGAGCTATCAAACGTGGCCTAACGTGCAATGGGTGAAGACTGAAACATTTAAAAATCTTTGTACTTAAAAGCGTTCTATTTCGAATGACCTAGCACTGTATATTAACACAAATTAAAAATAAAACAGGAGCAGACAACTCTGATCGATCATCCACACACTAGCAAATTTAATTTGCAAAATTCGCGTTCTGGAATGTAAAATTTCTGCTTTTATCTCAAATACATGAGCAAGTAGCTTCAAAAATTGTTATAAACCTAGACACCTGTAGGGGAATATAATTCAGCGTAATACCCAAAATTTGGTTTTCAATTGCCTTAGAAACTTCAGAGATTGACGAATTTCAAATCATGTTAATAGAACACGCAGTTCTAAGAGACTCAGCCAAAAAACAATTTAGCAAAAGATTATTGTTTCAGAAAATTACAATAGTAAGGCTTTTCATCCCTTGTCTAAATATCTCCAACATTACAAAAAATCAGCATTTTACCATAGTCCAAAGCATTTCTAATATGGCCAGATAAAAAACCTATTAATAGAAAAACAGTCTTTGTTCATATAGACAACCGATATCTTACGACTAACTGACACGCAATATAAGACTAATAATACAGAGCAAAATTTTGTATCAGAACAAATCTAAAACAAAATTGGTACTCTACATTTAAGATTTCGTTGAATGTATAATGTCAACTTTAACTGTCGAAATTGTGTCAATTGCACAAAATGATGCAAAAAACACTAATGACACACAAATGAGCGAAAATTGACTAAAATAGACAATTAAAACATTTAAAATGTCTACTATGAACACATTTAGAATAAATTTAATATCAACGAAAGGTCTAAAACGTTATTATGCTGTAAATATAATGTGTATTACCATAGGTGGCACGAAAAAACAGATAAAAGTAATGCTAAATCAATGCAATTTCTAAAACTCACAAGCTAAATCTTAAACCAGTTACTGCGCGAAATCGGTGCCACTAAAGATAAAAACCATACATGTTAAGGTCATTAGTATCATCAATATCGTTAAACTCAAGTTAAATTTCTGCATTATCAGGTGGCGAAATAGTTTTCTAGTAAAGCATTAGTATGGCATGTTTTGACTCTAGGCAAACAAAAATTAAAGTTTTATGTTAATTGCATAAATTGTGCTTGATCTTTTTTACTTCTGTACCTTTTTTTAAATATTCTAAAATATCAATTTGTAACCGATTCTGGAGCTCGTGATGTCAGCAAAAGTCAAAATTATTATTGTGCATATGTTTTTGCGTTTCACCTGGAAAAAATCGGCAAATCGTTAATCTTCTTTCTACATAGAATGCAGAATGATATAGCCGGCAATTTATTGGTCACTTTAAACGGCACGAATAGTGTCTGTCAGAAATTTGTACAAGACAGTTACCTTGTGACAAGCCCCGAGCAATAATTTTTGCAGATTTTACAGACGATAATAATAATGGGGAGGTTACTTTATCCGTACCTGTATACAAATATTTAAGCCCCTTTTATATTAATTTTTCCTTGTATGTAAAAAGGTTTGTGATAATTTTAGTAAATGGTTTTAAATACATCTCGTGCATTTATGTTCATTAAGCTGCTAAAATGGTTAGCCAAATACTAACGTCCTACATGCATAATAGGAAAATCATTTTTTTGTGTATGTGGACTCATGAACAACGTATTTCCATACAGGTAGCAGAACCTCGGTTGGCACTGTATCGATTTTGATCGACCATATATGCGTAACGAATGCAGGAGCTCTTACTCCTGATGCCTACTGCGTTACTGAAGACAGCACATGACTGCTGTGCACTTTATCACTTCGAAGCTTGTGGTAATGGCATTGCACCATAACATCGCCCTATGGCTCAGTAGAAAGGTGCCTAATTGCCACTAATTGCGCAGATCCGACGTTGGCAATTGAAGTCTCTACACGCTCCTATGCAGACACGGAAAGAGTAACAATGAACTTATTCACAATGCTGCCAATATTCACCGATTCACTACATTCTATTCAAAAAACGGTTAACAGCAGCAATGTACAGGGGGCATCTTGTATTTATCACAAAATATATAAAAAACGTGTTATTGTATGAGTGAGAACAAATGTGAGGAGACCAATCTTGATGGAGCGATTTCATTGGCCAATACCGTCTAAAAACAGAAAAACAAGAAAAATTACATGAAATAGAAGTGAGAGAAACCAAGACGGCAATTCTAATCCACATTTGGAGCCCAAACATTCGTCTGACACATACGAAAACGATTAACTCACGAAAATGTCCACAGTTTTCTGGAGGGAGCCCCTGTCACCTATGTTGGCAAAGAAGACGGCACTCTCACGTAAGTGAGCCTTCCAGGATTCTTGACCTGAGAAAAAAATGCCGGACAAATGGATTAAGCCGACCAATTTCCACTTTGCAGAGCCTCAAAAACACCCATCCAAGAGGGTTTAGTGTTAGAATGCTGGACTTACTAGTACAGTTGTCGGTCACCAGAGAGAGCCAGAACTTCAAGTTGGTAAGATGCATCCGGACTGATGGCTCAGCTTGGTGAAAGAGACTGGTGAAGACCTCGGAGTGGACCAAGTTGTCGTCCGCCACTGCTGCAATCCCGGACGCCCGAGCTAGGTGTGAAACAGCCGCCAGCATCACAGTGGCGATGTCAGTGAAGAGGTTCATGTGGTACCTGCGACTCAGGGTGCATGCTCTTTCCAACTGATCGATGGCCTCGTGGAACACGTTGATACACGCAAAGGCGTCAGCCTGGTTAGAAAAATAAGCGGCTCAAACATTGAAGCGATGAAAACTCCGCACTGAGGGGACCTACCATGGCGATTCGGGCGCGGACCTCAAACCGCACGAGCGCTGCGACGCCCCCGGTGGGAGGGAGATGACTCAGGAGGGGAAGACTCGACGACACCTCTTCAGCGTCGACTGCGTCCGCACCGCCACGGCGACCGGAGCAAAGCGTGTCGCTGAAGTCAATCGAAGTGCGCAGTCCCTCGGCAGTGCCGGCAATGATCTGGAGTAGATGGAAGGCTAGCGGTTGGTTGCCTCGCTTTAATTCGACACACGCACGTCTAAAAAGGGAGTTGAGAGGAGGAGGAGGGGGTGAAAGGAATACATGACACCACCGCACAAAATAGAAGTCATTCATCAAAGTTGTCAGAACACGCCAACGGCAAAACTCGCCCACTCCAACATTGTTTCGAGCTGGTCTTACCGATATTTGTCAAGAAAGTGGACTAGATTTCTGGTAATCACCTCGATCATACCTTACAATCGATCAGGTGATCATATCGATAGGTTTATTTGCCCAAACGGAGTACCTGCTTCCAGTACGATTAATCGTAGTCAAAAGATCAGCTTCTACATCAACACAAATGCACACATGAACTAGCGTCCTTTCAAGATGGAGCAAGTCAATTTTAAAAACGTGAAATTTGTCTGAATTTTAGTGTCGCGGGATTTTGGCAGGTTAGCGAGGGAACAAGTTGACACACCTGAGGTTAGATTCCCAGGGACAAAACAGAGCCAAGTTGCTGACCAACCGAGAGCAATAGTTTAAATCGGAGCCAATACGAAGCGCCTGTTCCAATTGGGTCTCCACACGGGCACGTTCAAAAATCGATAACTCATCGAACTGACCAATCGTTGAGGCGCCCTCTTCAAGCATCCGTACAGCCTGTGCTGGTGAGCCCTGAAAATTAGCGACAATAAGCAAACTGGGGTTGCAAAGGAAGATGAGTAATTCTACTAGAGCGGTGTTGGAAAATTCAACACGCCCTGGACTTCGCATTCATCCCATTGGTGCGCTGCTGGCAAAGTCACTCATGGCAAATTTGATTGGATGAGAAGACTGGTTGACTTGTTCCCAGGTCTTTGATACACCACGTCTGATTCGACAATGCAGCGTCAAATTTGAACTCAGGAGGGTGACATTGTGACACGCCACCGGTAGCCGTTTTAGCAGGCTACTACTCAAAAGTAATCAGTACAAGCAGAGCCATAGACGGATTCACTCACGGAGACGGCAAATGCTCTCGCAAGCTGTGAAATTGCCATAGCTAGGACCTCGTCGGAGATTGAACAGGGACGCAGACAGTCTATCATGACGACACACTGCAACAACGTCGTGGCCAAGATGCTACAAGTGGAACAACACAGCCGACACTCAGAGACGGGATCGTGTGCGTCAGTTGGGTAGAGTAGGCATTAGTTGACGCACCTGTGGCCGTAGAAGGCAAAGACGAATGCCACGTCGAGCAGCACGATGGCCAGAACCTCCGATTGCGTGGCGACCGCAGAGTTGAAGAAGGTCAGCAATATTCTGTTGAAAGGAAAGAGATCCTTAACATGGAGACAGGGGGGAATCAAAGAGGACGATGAAACTTGGAGTTACCGTTGAGGACTTGCACCTGTCCCCAAGAGTTTCAACAGCTTACAGCGCAGTTCAGTGAGCAGGAGATCCTTTTAAAGACGAGAATAAAATAGGTACAATAGGAAGGCGGCTGTTGCCAAGGGAACACATTTGGTGTCATCATAGCATAAAAACACAAAAAAAAATTACGGTCGAAACGTGTCCCTTGGTGCTTGTGTCAGCGGTCTCGTAGCGGAAGGGTTCGCCCAACGAGTTTAACACATCGTGCGCGGCCTACATAACAAAAAGTTTGAAAAAAAGTGACATCTTGACCTTTTCGTGAAACAACATTGAGAAGGTAGCCGACCTTAGCTTGCCTAAGGCACACCGTGTCGTTTGTCTCGAGTGCCTGATTGAGAGCCTGGCGCTGGAACGATCGAGCCTGATGCCTGAAGAAGCCATGGAGGAAAAACCAATCCACTTGCATTACATTGGTAAGTAGAACGCACTGAACTTACTCGTGGCCGAGTCTGTGGTGCATGTCCACAGCGGCAAGCGTCATGCCCGTCCAAGCCTCAGATGGCTTGGGATCGCAGATTGCTGCCAGTGTGGAGTCTTTAACTGGTCCCGAAATGACCATCTCGAAGGCCTTGTAGAGCTCGGCCTCAGCTTGGGTGAAGTTACGCTGCCGCATGGCGATCAAGTGAGAAGTGAAGTGCTACGGGAAGGAGGGCAGTTAAACAAATATGAAATAGACAGCTTACCGGTGTGGCGAGATCAGGGTGGGTTTTTTGAAACGTTCTTAAGCTTTCGATCAGGTGATCGTATTGTGCAGGACACATGGAGCCTAATTGGCCAACTTTTTTGATAATGCTTTCAGAAAACTTTGCAACCTGATTTGTACTAGAAGGAAAATTAAAAAAAAGTGGAAGTTGCCTACCTCAAATGACCAAACAATGATGCGTCGGACGTGTCCATCTGATTTCTCACAGCATCATAGTAATCGTAGAAGGCGTCACGGAACTTAATCATTTGGTCAAATGTCATTAGATGAAATCCGATGACAAATTTTCGCAGAAACTGTCCTATAAATGAGCTGGAACTGTTGGAACCTAGGACTCACCAACTAGACTGTCTGCATGGAAAGACGTAGCATTTAATTCCTCCAATTCATCCTCACTGGTAGAGAGAACTTCGTCAATAAAGGATGGGTGAACGTATTCGACAAGATTGTCCGAGCTTCGCAGGTACTCAAGCCTAACAAAGCACCACTTAGATGGTACAATTTGCAAACCTTTCCAAGACAAGATCGAATAGGGTCACGTTGATAAAGATTAGTTGATTTAATTTTGGTACAACAGGGGAATCTTCACCCTGGAAAAATTCAGCATTGAAATTGACAAATTGTCTTACTCGAAGTAACCGCAGCAGGAAAGCGTAGAACTTGTACGTTTTTTCCTCTTCCAAGCGCTCTGAATTCGGTATGTTGTCGATGTGTTCACGAACAACAATAAACCCAGCGAAGTTATCAAAAGTCACAAAATCCTCAAAAAAGGCCTGTTTTGAAAAGACTTCGTGGAAATTCATCAAATCTACGATGGTATACACAAAGATATATGTAAATGTAATATTAAAACATCATTCAAGAGCGTATCGGCCGAAAAAAAAATAACAACAGCGGTTTTGCCGAGTTTAATTTCTGAGAGATTATGAAAATTAAAGATTTGAGGAAAAAATATTTTTACAGGGGGGTAAAAGCAGCAAATAACCTTAAAACATATTCTAACCTTCCTAGATTGGAAATGTCATAAAGAATCTGACAAGAGAAAGGCAATATCCATTTAAAGGACAGACACGAAAGCAGGCTTTATTCGATTTCAATAATCTCATTTTGGAGAGGAGCGTTCTTGCAGGGTGTGATGAACAATCCAAGGAAAAAATGTCTCAGAAGTTAAGGGCAAATTTTCCAAAACAGACAACGGAAGAACATCAAAGGTGGCATTAATTAACACAGCATCAGCAGTAATCATGGATTAAAAATACCACGAAATTATGGGGCTTACTATGAAGAAATACAGCAATGTTTTTTCCAATCATTAAATCGGGAGAAAAATAAATTGCCACTTAAAGTAATCTTGAATGTACTTAGTGATCACAATGCTGTAGTTTTTCATTCTATAACAAAACATGTGACAGTGACTGCAGAGAACGCTGTTATACATTCAATGAGTTTTAATACTCACGCAAACGACCTCAAATTATCAGGGGACGATACTTCGTAAAATCGCGCTAATTAAAATGCATTAAAAGCCAATTTACAACATTTAGCAAAATAATTTCATCTTAGGTATTAAACAGTGAAAGTGCAAGCAATTACAAGTAAGATAAGCTTGTGCAAATGCTATTTTACAGTAGTCAAAGCAGCAAATCTATCGCTATTAAGCGCAAAATTGCCAGATTTATATTCCAAAAAGTGGAATGATAGAGGAATAAAGTAACACCAAGTAGGTTTTACAACAAAGAATGTTGTGATAAATCTTATTTGAAACTTTTAGGGCAAATCAGTTTACCAGGACGTTGGAAAATTTATAATCCGATGTGAAATTCCAGGTTAAATGTATCAGTAATAAAAGCGAACATATGTCGATTTCCTGACTGATTTCAGTAAGGTGCCAGAATTAAAGGACAAGGCTAATCAAATAACTTGAATTATTTACGAAATAACACCATATTTAGAAGTTAAAAGGTCTCGTGGTCACTTAGTGACGTTAATTTAGCCCCACCCCACACGTCGGACAAGGCAGTCCAATTGCTTTTGTGAACCCATTTTTGTTGTAGTTTTTAAATTTTAGCATTTATGAGCACTGTATTTCAATTGGCATGTTCTTTAAATCGTAAGCGAAAGTTGTGAACAATGAATATTTTGAATATTTTTGGAAGATATACTTGGCTATCTTTCGGACGTGAATAACTACCTACCAACTTATAAATTTCCAATTTCACTGAATATACTTGCTTTTCTTCTTTTTTCGTTTTTCATTCTGTCATGTTTTCAAGTGTAATGTTTAAACTGCATCGCGGGGACATAGTATCTCTCACACAGTTGTCGCTCGAATAGCTTCCTCTAATTCGCATGCATTTGCATAATGGTTGCCTTATTTATTTCGGTCATTTTAAACCTATATGCTTATTCGTCGTTAAATGTTCTGTTCTAAAAATTCGGATCAAGGGCACAAATTGCACTTGTCGTTGTCAAATTTCCTCTTTTCGGCTTCAGTCAGATGTTACAGCGATTTCTAATAATTGATTACATAGAAACTTATCAAAATTTCTATGAAATAAGTTTTACTTTTTACTATCTATAAGTATATTACTTTTGTGATAATTTATCATCTGGCGCCAAGTTACTTTCGAACAAATTCGTCAGTCAAAATTATTAGGGAGAATGAATTCAAGCAGATAATTCTCCAGATGGCAACTAATATTCATTATCTCTACAAGGAATTTCATTTTACTGATGATAATGCTTAATCAGATTTTGTTTAGTGGTTGGCATATATTTCGCTTTGGTGATTGGCTGTCTGCCTTACCAATGAGATAACGCCTCGAACAACTTTAGAAGTTGTGCATTTGGTTTAGGCTCTGTCAGGGAAGAGCATCCAAGATTGGATTTTAGGAAACCAAATTGTAGAATTAATTTCTTGATTCGGAAGAAATTAAATTTGAATGGTAAAGACCGTTTGAAGTCGGTTCATCAAAGCCCCCTTTTTTTAGTTTAACGAGTGCCACTTTGGGCAAGGAAAGGGGGCAACTTATGCAGCATTGATTTCCCCGACTAATTTACAATGTTCTTCCACCTCGTATTCTGCCAATCCTGCCTAAATACCTCTTACGGTGTTGCTTTACTTGACGGCAATCTTACCTCACTGGTAGAATAACATGCTCCTGCACTTTAATTAAAACGACTAACTTGGGATTATTATATCTTGGGAATTAAATGACGTCTGATGGTCTTGGGACGTGTTAATCGTTGAATACGTGATCTTGTTACTGATAACTAATTGCATCATTGGTTAATTTAATTGCAGCCCAAGTTAACTCATCACGCAATTCAACTGTCAGCATTAATGTCGTCAAGTCAGTTTGACAATAGCCTTTGGATGCAAGATCATAAGGTCAAAATTTACGTGACTGAATTGTGCACTTTAAGGCACAAATTGCGAAAATTGCGATAAAATTTGTGCGGCATAGATTCGGTCGTTTTTGTTACCAAAGTGGGCCATCTTCGACATACTATCATGAGTTCAGTAGATGAATTATAACACAATCAGTTTTCAAGGCTCAACGCAAGGTCACAGGTCAAATTACCTGAAAATATCAATTCCAATAAATATCAGCCATCGATCAATGTTCTCTGATTACAACTTCCGTAAATGTTACCGCGTGTGCTTTTTATAGCAGCTAGGAATTACATTTCCCGCTGTCCAATCAGGGATGTAAACTTCTTTCAAATTGACCAATCCCATGCTGCTGACCGTTTGACCAATCCCACTTCTCTGATTGGATACAGCCACTTTATTCCCATAATCGAATCCTGGTGGAAACAGTAAAATAGCACAAAAAACGTGTAGGCCTAGTAGATTGTGGGCCCGAATTTGGAATTAAAACCAGTACGTATAGCAGGATATTTCGATGTGATTAGTTTCGATAAATCATTCAGACAATTGACTCACTTTATTGGCCATGAGTACATTTTGCTTCAGTAAACAATCACACTTCAATGTCGTGCACTGTTGTGCGATTCCAAAAGAAAACTATCCAACTCTGGCCTTGCGCTTGTTTAAATCAAATGTGGCTTCAGAAAACTCCCTTTTGAATTGCTTTTTTTCACCATTCAAAGCTTCACTGCGCGCTCATCTAAATTATGCAAGAGTGGCTTCCACGCGTCGCCTAGTCTTTTATTTATTCAAATGTTAAAGCACAACTTTGAAAGCAGATATTTTAATCAACCACCGACAACATGCTTGCCTGACAATTAGACTGTTTACGAAGACACCCCTGAATTGACTTAGCTTTAAACAATAAAAATAAGGCGTAAATTGCAAAATTGTCAGGAAACAGAACCGCGAATAACCACGGCCGAGGGTACCTTTCGTAAATCAACTTGTGCGGCCACGTAGACGTCGTATATCTCCGGTTAGTATTCGAGATCACAAACAGTTCAGTTAATACCTGTGTCTGGTTTTACAATTTATTCGTAAATCTCGACTTGTGCAAACGTTGTGAGATGCTTTCATTTCTTTTTACGCGTAACTTTTAAATCACGGTGGTCGTTAGCCGAAGAGTGGATTTTTGGCTTTCCGTAGTATTGATCGATGACGTGCAGTCAAATAATCAATAATTCACGCAATGAAATTTATGCTAAAGCATTTATAACCTGATCGTTCAAGTAAATCTAACTGAAATTGGACTTAATTATTCAGTACGACTTATGGAAATGAAGCTACGTTTTCCGGAACATTTATCGACTAGTGGCGATAACACGTTACACGCTGGATAAGTCACTTGTGACATTTGAAAAGACGTTTGTTGCAGGCAATTGGCATTAGGCAAGGCGCACACAACGCAACCTTAGTATCAAATTATCTAGCCGAAGGCAATGATTTGTCCACACAAGTTGCAAGACATAGCCGAGATTCAACGTTGTTGAATTGCTGCATTCAATATTATTCAGGAGTGAACGAATCTGCCGAGTCGACGGCAAAAAATCAGATTTCAAACTAATGCGTAGTTGATTATAAAAAATTATGATTGGTTTGCACGGGGCCAGATTTGGAGTGTTAGTTCAAGGTCACCTATGCGCGTGTAGTGTACTAAATCCCAGCAATTGTCACACGCCGCGTGACCCCAAAATTTAATTTTCGTGCTAGGAAGATTTCTAAAAAAACTAAGTCATAATTAATCTGCACTTTTTTGCAACAAAAGACTGTTATTCTGAGTTGTCTTATCTGCTCTTATACGTTAGCATTTTCGCCAGTGGATGATCCTTCGTGTGATAATGATTAGTCAGAATTAGCGTTCAAATATGTTAATTAAGGAAAAAAAACTCATTGTGATGTAACATAAACGAGTTTTCGAACAATTCGAAGAGCTTAATCACGTATTTTTAAGACGAAATTGGATGATCACAGCGCATATTTCGTGTCGCGCGATAACTCATTGCTGTTACACACTTAAACGTTTCCTAATTTCGAGAGATCCAACTCAGTTAAAGTTAACGTTTTGATTCCCCGTCAACAGCGATGATAAAAATAACTCCTCAATTGTCCACGGTTGCAGCCATCAGGAAAAAAACTATAGATCGGAGAAGTTTGACTAACTTGGGTTAATTTTTTGTTGGAACTCAATTGAGCCAATCAGGTTATCGTACGATTTGATTGGTTGCACAGACCTATTTTCCGCCTCCAGATTACATCGTTTTAGTTATGAGACTAGCCTACTTGTTGGACTCTGTCAAGGCGATATCGGTGCTATTAATAAACACACACACACCACTCTGATAGTGAAATTTGAGTATTTTGTTCTTGGCTACTGTGTACTTGTTCGTAAACAAACTGGCATCCTCACAATCTTGTGCATAAAACTGACAAAAATATCCATTTGATGCGGCCGACCTCAAGAAATCGAAGTACAGTAACTACTTGACTTTCTTGTACAAACGTGGGAATTATCGCCCAATCGGACATGCAAATTATGAGTTGATGAAATCTCAAATTTATGAGGTCGCCGATCCGGCCTTTTAAGCCATAGACTTTGTTCCCGTTTCACTAGTCTCACTCATTCATTCGCTGTCCGAGCAGATTTGCTCAAAGTCGCATGGTTTTTGACTCAGTGGTTCCCACAATCTGCACCCAAGGACACAAACTGAGGTTCCTGTTGCCCGTGGCAACGAAACAAAATTTAAACAAACGACCAAGCAGCACCGACAGCCAATCAGGAAAATCCTATTGGCAAATGATGATTCGCGTGTCAGATGGTACCTTTAGAGTCTCAGTCCTCGATTATCGATCACTATAGTAAAATCAATACCATGCCAATCACTCATACCGTTGAAACTCTCACAATATATATGTGCGTATTGGTGTTGTCGATAATGTGACTCGTATTTATCGATTTTTATCTTGAGGTCACTTTGTTTAAGTGTCAATAAACACCGACGGGACGTACGGAAAAAGCATTCTTGTCAATTTTCATAAGAATGCTGTCAGCTAACAGGAAAATTAACTTAAACTTTTGTTCACAAATCAGCTTGGAAGAGGTACTGAGTGATAGATATACAACCCAAGGAACATTTCGGCGCAAATATCGTAGGCGAATTCTCTTAAAAAGAGCCATTGTCAGTAATTCATTTTGATGTTCTTTACCATAAACTTAACTGTAAGGCGAGATCTGTAACAGATAGAGAACGATTAGATTTCCTAAAAGTAACTACCTGTTATTAACTGACCGCATCAAATCATAACCACGTGATTCAGATAGGGGCATAGTAGTACCTTCTTCCTCTGAATGTGAATGAAAATGCACCTCTTTCCTTAATTCTACGCAGCCTAATTGCCATTTTTAGCCCAGGAGATGAAGCTGAATTGCGCGAAGAAGTCTCGTCTTAGTGAAGGTGGTGTTGGCGTTGATAAAAGTGGTGGTGGTGGTGGTGGTGGTGGTGGTGGTGGTGGTGGTGGTGGTGGTGGTGGTG